ATGGCCACACACAACTCAGTGACCGTACTCACGATTATGGGGTTTATTATAAGGGAAGTAAGTTACAGTTCATGCTCAGAAACACTCAGGATACAGTTCTTCCGAACTGTGCTTGCAGGCACGCCTCTCCCTGGCCCTAGGCCTCTCCCCAAAGGCACTCAGCTTTCTCTCTCAGTGGGCTGGGAAGCCCACTGCACCGTCTCCTGCTGCCAGGTCTCTCCTCCTACCGATTCTCCCCATCTTCAGGGTTAAGATTGCTGTCTCTTTGTCTCTCCCCCTTCCTCCCTTCCTCTCTCCCCCTACCACGCCTTCTCCTTCCAGAAGCATCTCAGCGCAGGGATCCCAAGTTCAAAGGACATGCTTTCCACTCCTGGCTGTTCTTCCTTTGTGGTAGTAGAATCCCCCTCTCTCTGCTCTGGAATTCGCTCTCTTTTATGGCAATACTGACCAATCCCCTTAGAGGGCCACAGTTACCCATCAGCACAGTCCCGCCCAATCACCTGGGTGGGAGTTACAAGACTTTGGCTAGAAAGGCCGTATTAAGTAATTCATTACACTCCAACCCCCCCCACCCCTCCCTTTTTTAAAAATTTTTATTCATTGTGCTGGGCTTTAGGAGGGTACTTTGAATCTGGAGACTCAGTTCTTGGAAATTTTTCGCTATTAATTCATTGAGAAGTTCCTCCTTACCTCATGTCCTGTAATTCAAATGCTGGACTTCCTAGACTGATCCTCATAATTTTCTCTTTTTCAAACCATGCTCTTGTTTTCAGTCCACTGCCTCACCCCAGCCTTCTGTTATACCTCGAATCTGTGATCCTGAGACTTTCCAGGGCTCTGCAGGGTTTGTGGGCTTGCTTGTTAACAGTATATCCCACCATAGGCACTTCAGTTTGATCTTCCTCCACTCTCCTCAATCTGCTGTCATAGATATGGTTAAAGGTTCACATGTCTCTTAGTTTTAACAAAGGTAAATGTGTTTTTGTTTTTTGTTCCTTTTATCATTGTGGGATGGTATTTCTGAGAAGAGGATAGAAAGGCCTGATTCTGCTCTTTTTTATTTATTGTTGTACTTTAAGTGAAAGTTTACAGTTCAAGTTAGTCTCTCATACAAAAATTTATACATACATTGTTATGTGACCCTAATTGCTCTGCCTATACTATGATAGCACACTCCTTCTTTCCACCCCTGATTTCCCATATCATTCAACCAGCTCCTGACCCTCTCTGCCTTCTTATCTCCCCTCCAGATAGGAGATGCCCTTTTAGTCTCATGTATCTTGAACTAAGAAGCACACTCTTCACGAGTATCATTTTATGTCCCATAGTCCAGTCTAATCTTTGTCTAAAGAGTTGGCCTCAGAAATTTTTTTAGCTCTGGGCTGATTAGAGAATCCAGGGGTCATGCTTTCCAGGGTTCCTCTAGTCTCAGTCTGATCATTAAGTCTGGTCTTCTTACTAGAATTTGAGTTCTGTACCCCACCTTTCTCCTGCTCCATCCAGGACTCTCTGTTGTGTTCCCCATCAGGGCAGTCATTGGTGGTAGCCGGGCACCATCTAGTTCTTCTCGTCTCAAGCTGATGGAGTGTCTGGTTTATGTGGCCCTTTCTGTCTCTTGGGCTACTACTTTCCTTGTGACTTTGATGTTCATTCTCCTTTGCTCCAGGTAGGTTGGGACCAATTGATGCATCTTAGGTGGCCGCTCACTAGCTTTTAAGACCCCAGACACCGCTCACCAAAGTAGGATGCAGAACATATTCTTAATAAACTTTCTTATACCAATTGACCTGGATGTCCCCTGAAAGCATGGTCCCCAAACTGCCTCCCCTGCTACACTGTCCTTCAGAGTGTTTGGTTGTATTTAGGAAACTTGTTAGCTTTGGTTTAGTCCAGTTATGCTGACTTCCCCTGTAGTGTGTGCTGTCCTTCCCTTCACCTAAGATAATTCTTGTCTACTATCTAGTTAGCGCGATTCTGCTCTTTTAAATCTGTTAGTCTTGTTCTAGAGTGTTGATTCTTATTGTGTTGATTAGCTTACACTTGGCATGAAAATTTTATTGACTTCTGGGAAGAAAACAGTGTAAACATGATATATTTTAATTCTTCTGTTAATAAGAGAGCTGCAGTTCTAGGATAGTGGAAAATACACTATATTAATTAGTCATTATGAAGTATGGATGACATAGTTAACTATCGAGTGTTTGCTGTGTGTTCTGAACACTTTAGGAATAACTCTTTAATCTTCTCAAGCAAACCGTTGAGTTGTAGATTATTATTTTATTATTTTTGGTATACTACACTATAATTGTAAATGTCTTTAAGTGCCTGTATGACCCTGGGCAAGAGAAAATACAGTATGTATATAAAAACATTGAAAAAGAAAGATGATCAATTCATTGCATTGCTAGTTCTTTATCTGAAGCCCTCCTAAGTGGTTATAGTAATTTCGGTGGGAATACCATCACCATAAAGAATAATAGCCTCTGTCACTGGAAGAAACCTTTGAAATCACCTACACCATTAATGTTCACATTCGTTCTCTGGAGTCTTGGGGTTCTGGATTGTGTCTCATATGTTGCTTCTGTTCCCCCAGGAAATGTTTGAAAGCCATTGGAGCCGTGCTATCCAGTATGATAGCCATTAGCCTCATATAGCTATTGAGCGCGAAATACTTGACTGGTCCAAATCGAGATGTTGTGTAACTGTAAAATTGACACCAGATTTCAAATACTGAGTATGAAAAATGTAAAATGTCTCAATTTCTTAAAATTAATTTCATCTACTTGTTTACTTTCTTCAATGTGGCTACTAGAAAATTTTTAAATTACATTTATGGCTTAGATTATATTTCTGTTGGACAGTGCAGATATAGATCATCTGCTATATAGCAAAACTGTAAGTTTGGATGATTTGCCCAAGAATATGCAGAGGTTAGTGTGACCAAAATCCTTGCACATTTAGGTTAGTGCTCTTTCCACAGGATCGTGCAGCATTAGGTCCACCTGATAAAAGTTGTTTGCTGTAACGTAGATCTCGTTCGTTTTGCAGAGCATTTGATGGTCAGAGCATGGTTTTGAAGTGATTAGTCCACTCTGTTATAACTGCTAAATATTAAATGACCTGGGTTGTACCCATAAAGAAACTAGTGGTACATTTCTTAATGTGTGTGACTCCAATTATTTCATGAAACATCATTTTAAAGATTTTCACAGTTTAGTTATCCAACATGCTTTGACATTTTTTACTTGAACAATTGCATAACTTGCATATGTGTTTAATAAATTGTCCTTGACAAATTCAATATGCCATTCAACCCCATTCTACCAATTTTATCAAATAAGATTTTGCTTATGCTTCTTTAAGCTAGAAATATTAGCTGCAAGTTAGTCCCTGTCTTAGTTATCTAGTGTGGCTATAACAGAAATACCACAAGTGGATGACTTTAACAAAGAGAAGTTTATTCTCTCACAGCCCAGTAGGCTAGTAGTCCAAATTCAGGGCGCCAGCTCCAGCAGAAGGCTTTTTGTCTCTGTCAGCTCTGGAGGAAGGTCCTTGTCATCAGTCTTGTGTCTGGGAGCATCTCGGCACAGGAACCTCAGGTCCAAAGGACATTCTCTGCTCCCAACACTGCTTTCTTGGTGGTATGAGGTCCACATGTCTCTCTGCTTGTGTCTCTCCTTTATATCTCAAAAGAGATTGGCTTAAGACACTGTCTAATCTTGTAGACCTCATCAGTATAATTGCTGCTAATCCATCTTATTACATCATAGTGATAGAGTTTATAGCACATAGGGAAATCACATCAGGTGACAAAAGGTAGACAGTCATATAATACTGGGAATCATGACCCAGCCAAGTTGACAGATATTTTTTGGGGGCACAGTTCAATCCATGACAGTCAGCTTTGTCCTTAGTTTCACCTGCTGTTTAACCTACTGCTGCTAGAATTGTTATCATTGAATTTATATCATTTAATAAATCTCGAAATTTAAAATAATATATTTCTAAAATATTTTCTATAGCTAGATTCTATAGAATGGTTAAGCGCTCAGCTGATAACCAAAAGTTCAGCAGTTAAAACCCACCAGCCACTCTCTGGGAGAAAAGACCTGGTGACCTGCTCCCGTAAAGATTACAGCTTAGGAAGCCCTGTGGAGCATTTCTACTTTGTCATACAGAGTCATTATGAGTTGGAATCGACTTGGCAGCACACAGCACACAACAACAACAGCAGCATCCTGCCCTACCATGTTATAGTAAGGGCGTTGCCTGTGTATGTAAACATTTTAATACTGCAGATGTCATTTTAGTAATTATGTTTGATTTTGGAATCATGTAGATGTTTTAAATTACTATAGAAGAAAAGTAAATCACAATGAGGAGAGAAATGCATGAAAAGAAAAGATGAAAGGAAACAAATCGGCCTAACTGTGTCATGCTAGTGGCTAAATTAGAGTGTAAATTAATTTAAAACACTTCAAAATATGGAAATTCAATTAATTATCCCTTGTGGGATATATCTTGTTTTTTTTAAATTGTGCTTTAGATGAAGGTTTATAGAGCAGATTAATTTCTCATTAAACAATTAATGCACATATTGTTTTGTGACATTGGTTGCCGACCCCATGACTTGTCAACACTCTCCCCTTCTCAACCTTGGGTTCTCCATTTCCATTCATTCAGCTTTCTTGTCCCTTCCTGCCTTCTCATCCTTGCCCTGGGCTGGTTTGCCCATTTAGTCTTGTATATATGGTTGAGCTGTGTGTATTAATGTTTGTTTTATGGGCTTGTCTAATCTGTGGCTGAAGGATGAACCTCAGGAGTGACTTCAGTACTAAGTTAAAAGGGTGTCTGGGACCATACTCTTGAGGTTTCTCTAGTCTCTGTCAGACCAGTAAGTCTGGTCTTTTTTTTGTGAGTTTGAATTTTGTTCTACGTTTTTCTCCAGCTCTGTCCAGGATCCTTTATGGTGATCCCTGTCAAAGCGGTCGGTGGTGGTAGCTGGGCACCATCTACTTGTGCTGGACTCAGTCTGGTGGAAGCCCTAGTAGTTGTGGTCCATTAGTCCTTGGACTAATCTTTATTCCTCGTGAGATATATCTTAATGGCAGAAGACATTCAGTAAACTTGAATTGGAAATACTGCTAAATACATGATGTATTTTCATTAAAAACAAACAAACAAACAAAAAAAAACCTAGCTCTATTAAAGGCCTAGAAATAATAAATTATCTTGTAGCAGTGAGCACCTCTAGCGCCCTGAGATTGTGGACTTTAGAGATTTTTCTTTAAAAAGAACCAGGCTCTTTGGAAAAATAGCTGATTTTTGGTTAAAGACAGGGAACATTCATGATAATCTGTAATAAGTTTTCATAACATATACTACAAGATCACTGGAGTTGTGTTAAAAAGACTGAGGAGGTAACTGGAGTCTTCCATTGGCCAAAATTGGGGTGTCTGAAGTATCAAAAAGAGTCCGTGAGGATTTCTGGTTCTGGTCAAATTGAATTAACAGGGCCAAGAGTTCTCCTCCTACCTGAACAGCAACAACGAAAAACCAAGCAGACAAAATAACATGAAACAACAGTTTTCAAGACACCAAAACATCAGACAGTGAAGGGCCAGTGATCTCTGGAGATGGGAAACAAATAAGGTGAGCGCTGTGATTGCCCCAGGTGCCTTGAGAGAGTTTCCAGGTTCTGATACAGGGAGGGGCATCTGAGGAAGAACCCACAGACTCCCTGAGTTGAAGAGACAGAGCTGGGAATCTTGGGAGACCAAGACAGAGTTTATAGAATAGAATACCAGAGAGAGAAGCCTGGGGCTCTGTAGAACATTTTCTTCAAGTATTCGACAGAGTGCTGGTCTACTGATCAGCACATCTGTATGATGAAACTACCTAAGGCTAGAAAAAATATTGTCCAAGAATAGAGCCAGGAGTAGTGCCTATTCCCACTAGCCAGACAGGAAAAAGTCATAATTCATGAGGCATTAGGTAGAGGACTCAGGAACGTCTTGCGTCAGTAGTAGAGATTAATTAGCTGCAAACTTAGCATTGCCCTTGGACCCACCTAACAGATTATAAAAGCAAGACCCATATGATCAAACTGTGTTCATATAACTTAGCTGCACACCAGAACAAAGCTCAAGAAGTTACATAGGAATACAAAAATATTTAGCAAGGTAAAATTCACAGTGTCTGGCATCCAAACAAAAATTATGAGGTATACACAGACGCAAGAAAATATGACCCATAATGAGAATAATCAGTTGAAACTGGCCCGGAACTGACACAGATGTTAGAATTAGCAGAGAAGGTTGTTAAGACAGTTACTGTAACTGTATTCCGTACGTTCAGAAAGTTAAGTAGAGACATGTTCTTGTTGCTTTTGTTGTTATTTGCCATTAAATTGATTCCAACTCACAGCGACCCCATGTGTGCAGAGTAGAACTGCTTCATAGGGTTTTCAAGGCCGTGATCTGGAAGCAGATCACCAGGCCTTTCTTCTGAGGTGCCTGTACGTGGGTTTGAACCACCAACATTTTGGCTAGTAGTTGAGTACTTAACTGTGTCACTGAGGAATGATATATATATATTTTTTTAAAAGACTCAAACTTTCAGAGATGAAAACTATGGTGTCTGAGATGAAAAATATATTAATGGAATCAATAACAAATTAGAAATTCCAGAAGAAAAGATAAGTGAACTTTGAGGCATAGTAATAGAAACTGTCTTAAATGAAAAACAGAGATAAAAGAACCAGGAAAAAAAAAGCATCAGTGAGCTGTGGGACAACTTCAAGCAGTCTGATAAGTGGCTAATTGGAGTCTCTGAAGGAGAGGAAAGAGGATGTAACAGAAAAAAACATTTAAAGAAATAATGGCTGAAAACTTAAATAATGAAAATATAAACGCACAGATCGAAGAACCTCAGGTCCTGGAATTACTGGAGGTGGAATTCAAAAAATTAATATACAGAGCTCTTCAAGAGATCAGGAAGGAGATCATGCAAATACTCAGACCAGGCCAAAGAACACACAGACAAAGCAATAGAGGAATTCAGGAGAGCAATACAAGATCAGAATAACAAATTTAACAGGCTGCTAGAATCCATACTAAGACAACAAATAGAAATCCAAAAGATTAACAATAAAAGTTCAGAATTAGACAACTCAATAGAAGGTCATAGGAGCAGAATTGAGGCAACAGAAGTCAGAATTAGTGAGACTGAAGGTAAAACACTTGATACCAATTTATTTGAGGAAAAATTGGATAAAATAATTTAAAAAAATGAAGGAACCCTAAGAATTATGTGGGACACTATCAAGATGAAGAACCTATGAGTGATTGGAGTACCAGAACAGGGAGATATAACACAAAATACAGAGAGAATTGTTGAAGACTTGCTGGCAGAAAACTTCCCTGATATCATGAAAGAGGAGAAGGTATCTAAGAAGCTTATCAAACCCCACCCAGGGTAGATTCCAAAAGAAAGTCACCAAGACATATTATAATAAAACTTGGCAAAACCAAAGATAAAGAGAGAATTTTAAGAGCAGCTAGGGATAAACAAAAGTCACCTACAAAGGAGAGTCAGTAAGACTAAGCTGTGACTACTCAGCAGAAACCATGCAGGCAAGAAGACAACGAGATGACATATATAAAGCCTTGAAGGAAAAAAAAATAGCCAGCCAGGAGTTATACATCCAGCAAAACGGTCTCTCAAATATGATGGTGAAATTAGGGCATTTCTACGTAAACAGAATTTGTAAAAACCAAACCAAAATTACAAGAAATATTAAAGGGAGTCATAGAACTTTCATATGGAGAGGAAGTTAAGGCAGTATCAAGAAATAAAGATTGGTTTAAACTTTGAAAAATAGAGGTGAATTTTAAGGTAACTACAAAGGAAACTAACAAATCTACCCATCAAAATAAAAAAGAAAAACAAAGTAAAGACTTAGCAAATACAAAATCAACAAGAATGAAAATGATGAAAAGAAAATACATAAAGAAAAATGACTCAGCACAGAAAATTAAGTGGAACAAAGAAACTCTCGACACCACACACGCACAAAAAAAAATACATCAAAATGACAGCATTAAACTGATACCTATCAGTAATTACAGTGAATGTAAATGGATTAAATGCACCAATAAAGAGACAGAGAGTGGAAGAATGGATTAAAAAAACACAGTCCATCTACCTGCTGCTTACAAGAGACACACCTTAGACTTAAAGAAACAAACAAACTAAAAGTCAAAGAATGGAAAAAAATGTATCAAGCAAACAACTATCAAAAGAAAAGAGCAGGAGTGGCAATATTAATCTCTGACAAAATAGACTTTAGAGGAAAATCTACCACAAAGGATAAGGAAGGACACTATATAAAGATTAAAGGGTCAATAAATCAGAAGGACATAACCATAATAAATATATACATACCCAATGATAGGGCTCCAAAATACATAAAACAAACTCTTAACAGTATTGAAAAGACAGATAGACAGCTCCACAATAATAGCAGGAAACTTCAACACATCACTTTTGGTGAAGGGCAGAACATCTAGGAAGAAGCTCAGAAAAGATACAAAAGATCTGAATGCCACAGTCAACCAATTTGACCTCATAGACATATACAGAAAATAAGCTTTGTAATATTACAATGTTTTGGATTCTGTTAAGGCTTGCTTTGTGGCCTGCTATGTGGTCTATTCTGGAGAATGTTACATGTGCGTGGGAAAAGAAAGTATACTTGGCTGCTGTTGGGTGGAGTGTTCTGTATATATCTATGAGGTCAAATTGGTTGATTAAAATTTATTAAAATATCCTGTATCCCATTTTGGTGAGTGGAGTCTGGGGTCTTAAAAGCTTGTGAGTGGCCATCAAAAATGCATCAGTTGGTCCCAACCCACTTGGAGCAAAGGAGAATGAAGAACAACAAAGACATAAGAAAAATATTCGCCCAAGAGAGAAAAGGGCAGTATAAACCAGAGACTCCATCAGCCTGAGACCAGAAGAGCTAGATGGTGCCTGGCTACCGTCAATGACTGCCCTAACAGGGAACACAACAGAGAGTCCCTGACGGAGCAGGAGAGAAGCGTGGAGAAGAACTCAAATTCACGTAAAAAGACCAGACTTAATGGTCTGACTGAGTCTGGAGGAACCCCGGAAAACATGGCCCCTGGACTTTCTGTTAATCCAGAGCTAAAAGTATTCCTAAAGCCCACTCTTCAGACAAAGATTAGACAGGATTATAAAACATAAAATAATACTCATGAAGAGTGTGCCGCTTAGTTCACCACCAAATGGGTGGCTCCTGTCTGGAGGCAGGATGAGAAGGCAGGAAGGGACAAGAACTGGTTGAATGAACACAAGAAACCCGGGTTGGAAAGAAGGAATGTGCTGTCACATTATAGGGATAGCAACTAATATGACATAATAATATGTGTATAAATTTTTGTATGAGAAATTAACTTGATCTGTAAACTTTCACCTAAAGCACAATAAAAAATAAAAAGAAACATGAAGGAAACTACAGTAAATCACATCATAACCGAACCACTCGAACTAGCCATAAAGTGAAAATCTTAAAAGTATGTGGAGAAAACAGACATGTTTACATATAGAGGAACAAAGGGTAACAATCATCACAGCAAATTTCTCATTGGAAACAATGCAAGCCAGAAGACAGTGGAGAAATCTCTGTAAGGTACTGAAAGAAAAAAAACTGTCAATTTAAATTCTATACTGGCAGAAATATTTTTTAAAAACAATGATGAAATAAAGGTGTGTTTAGACATACAAAAGCTGAAAGAATTCATTACCACTAGACCTGTACTACAAGCAGTGTTAAAGGGCATCCTTGAGATAGAAGTAAAATAATGCCTTGAATTGCTTTAAAGCAAATCCCTGACATCAAATGATTTCATTTGTAAATACTTCGATGTTTATCTCCAAAAGATGACCACTGTCTTGATTACTGTAATTTGTCTTGATTACTGTAGCTCTGTAATGAATTTTGAAATAGTGTTAGCCCTCTGACGTTGCTCTTATTTTTCAGAATTGTTTGGCTACTGTAGATCCTATCTACATTTAAGTGAATTTTAGAATCTACATATCAGTTTCTACAAAAAAACCTGCTGGGAATTTGATTGAATTCTTTTGAATCTATAAACTTTGGGAGAATTGATATCTAACAATATTGAGTCTTCTCACCCATGAACATGGTAAAATAATATATTTAGGTCTTTAGTTTCAGCAGTTTGTAGTTTTTGCTGTGTAGGTCTCACTCCTCTTTTGTCAAGTTTTTCCCTAAGTATTTTAGATTTTTTAATGCTACTGTAAATACAGACAGTTTTACTTCTTTCTTTCCTATCTGAGTGCCTTTTAGTTCTTTTTCTTGCCTAATTGCAGTGACTAGAACTAAAAGCTACTTCCCTGTCTTATTTCTTGATCTTAGGGAAAGTATTCAGTCTTTCATTAAGTATGTTATTAGCTGTAGGTTTTTCATAGATTTCCTTTATGAGGGTACCAGTTATTAGGGGAATAAATGTTTAGGATTCTTATGTCTTCTTGATTGATTAATCCTTTTATCATTATAAAGTTATTTACTTTATGTCTGGTAATACTGTTTGCTCTCAAATCTACTTTGAAATTAATATAGCCACTCTAGCTTTCTTGTAGCTAGCCTTAGCATTACATATGTTTCTACCTTTTTACTATTAATATATTTATGTCTTTATATTTAAATTGCATTTTTTATAGGCAGCAGATGGCTTAGTGGATGACTTTTTTATTAATGTTTGCTGTAGGCTTTATAGTATATATCCTTAACTAATTACAGCCTACCTTCAAGTAATACTTTTTTTTTTTAAATTGTGTTTAAGTGAAAGTTTACAGCTCAAGTTAGTTTTTCATATAAAAATTTATACACAAATTGTTATATGACCCTAGTTGCTCTCTCTATAATGAGACAGTACACTCCTCCCTTCCACCCTGGATTTCCCACGTCCATTCAACCAGCTTCTGTCCCTTTCTGCCTTCTTATCTCACGTCCGGACAGGAGCTGCCCATTTAGTCTCATGTATCTACTTGAATTAAGAAGCACACTCTTCACGAGTACTATTTTATGTCTTATAGTCCAGTCTAATCTTTGTCTAAAGAGTTGGCTTCGGGAATGGTTTCAGTTCTGGGTTAACAGAGTCCAGAGGCTATGTCTTCCGGGTTTCCTCCAGTCTCAGTCAGACCGTTAAGTCTTATCTTTTTACTAGAATTTGAGTTCTGCATCCCACTTTTCTCCTGCTCCATCAGGGACTTTCTGTTGTGTTCCCTGTCAGGGCAGTCACTGGTGGTAGCCAGGCACCATCTAGTTCTTCTGGTCTCAGGCTGATGGAGTCTGTGGTTTATGTGGCCCTTTCTTTCACTTTGGCTAACATTTTCCTTGTGTCTTTGGTGTTCTTCATTTTCCTTTGCTCCGGGTGGGTTGGGACCAATTGATGCATCTTAGATGACCGCTCGCAAGCTTTTAAGACCCCAGACACCACTCACCAAAGCAGGATTCAATGCAGAATGTTTTCTTAATAAACTTTGTTATGCCAATTGACCTAGATGTCCTCTGAAAGCATGGTCCCCAGATCCCCTCCCCTGTTACTCTGTCCCTTGCAGCGTTTGGTTGTATTCAGGAAATGTCTTAGCTTTTGGGTTAGTTCAGTTGTGCTTATTTCCCCTGTATTCTCTGTTGTCCTTCACCTAAGATAATTCTTGTCTACTGTCAAGTTAGTGAATTCCTGTCTCCCTCCCTCCCCGCCCTCATAACCATCAAAGAATGTTTTCTTCTGTGTTTAAACCTTTTCTTGAGTTCTTATAATAGTAGTCTCATAAGACATTTGTCCTTTTGTGACTGATTGATTTCACTCAGCATAATGCGTTCCAGATTCATCCATGTTATATTTCGCGGATTCATTGTTGTTCTTTATTGTTGCATAGTACTGCATTGTGTGAATGTAATATGATTTGTTTATCCATTCGTCCGATGATGGACACCTGGGTTATTTCCATCTTTTTGCTATCGTGAGCAGTGCTGCAGTGAACTTGAGTGTGCATGTATCTATTCTTGTGACGGCTCTTACTTCTCTAGGATATATTCAAAGGAGTGAGATTGCTGGACCGTATGGTACTTCTATTTCTAGGTTTGTTTTTTTTTTTATTGTACTTTAAATGAAGGTTTACAGGACAAATAGTTTCTCATTAAACAGTCTGTACACATATTGTTTTATGACATTGGTTAAGAACCCCACAATGTGTCAGCAGTCTCCCATCTTGACCTTGGAGGACCTTTTTTTTTTTT